AGATTTTGAAGATTCATCAACTTCTATCTTTGACAGATTGAATTGCCCATTGTAATTATTTATGGAGAATTTTTATTTAGATCGTTAACTTGTGAGAATTTGTCAATTATCTACAAAAATCACTATTTGATTAGATAATTAATAAATCAACAAATAAAACTTTCACACTCCTCAAAAATATCTCTTTTTCCGAAATGAATCATTTACCAACATTTCCCATAAGTAAGTTATTTACTAACCTTTTTCCCGAGTCAAATTATTTGTGAAAAATGCCAAAAATGTCAGAAATTCATTTATTTATATAGATTGATGTTGTATATATATACACAATACAACAAAATCTGTCATAATACAAACTGAATGGCATCTAAATTAATCTAACTAAATTTAGATATATTGCTGTATATTGTAAAGAAAAAAATATATACTTTACAAATCAACAATTTATTATTGTAAAATATTTATGACATAATGATGAGTTGACTTCTTCATGCGTCTTGAAAAGATTTTTCCTAATAAAAAAAATAAAAAAAGAAATGTTAGTAATGTTAAGCAAAAAGAACATTATCCTCATATAAAAAGAATCATTTTTCTCATCAATTACCATTAAAGAAGAAACTCATGCAATTCCTGAAAAAATTCACGTCTCTGGAAGAAAGGCAACTTAGAGAAATTCTTTAATTTATTCCAGAGACTTAACAAATAACCTAAAAAACAGGAAAAGACATTAATGCTTTTTCATAACATTGTTAACTACTTCAAACTAACCTGAAGACACTTACTTTTTAAAAAAACTCTGGTCTCTGGAACCTATAGAATTATTGTTTCAAAATGTCATTATTCCTACAATCATCTACCAAAAGAAACTTTCTGCCAATTTTAAATTCAAGAAACCAAGTCAAAGAAAGAATAAGAAAGAAAAAAAAAGAGGTTAATATTATTCTTAAAAGTAAATAAATTTAAATGAAACTTTTCCAGTTTACCAGAAATCTGTTCGTTCACTCCTAAAAAAAGTGTCTCGTTTCTGACAAAAAAAATTTTTTGTCATGTGAAAAGATGATGACATATAATTCATACATACATACTTTATTTCTGGTATGATAGATGGGAGACATACACTGATACACCGTGTATGCAATCAATACCATACATAGCCATACATGTGGTACCATACATACATACATAGCAATCCATACAATACTTGTTTTTTATTTAATCTTATTACGGTAACCATAGACACCTCTGACCCCATACAAAATAATAGGAAAAACACAGTATATGATAAATTACCCACTGGTAATGCCCACACTAGAGTCATATATGACTGCGATAACATCAAAAAAGCGACCTAGGAAAACTTCCAACTCAATATAAAAGATTAGATAGACTTACTTGACCAAGACACAAAGCCAATTTCACAAAATACTCTCAGGAAGACATAGATAGATATTGGGACCAACTTAACGGTATGATAGTAGAACGATATACAAACAAATTACTTAGTTTATTACATAACTATTACCATGGCAACCGACAGATGATAACAAATGAGGATGCCAAATCTAGATGGACCAGAAAAATTACCAAATATAATCTAGATTATGTTACTTCAACTGAGGACAATAATAAGTGTAACATAGCCATGTATGACATTTTCTCGGAGGATTGGTTTAACGCACTTAAAACAAAAGTGAATTGCCACCTAAAAGCCGATTACAAAAACATAAAGCCTCAGAAGCGAAGTCTATTAAAGACCGGATAGACAAGCGAGTAGAGATTATACGAGACGATCAAACTACATGGCTATCCAGCATATTAGACAAAAATACCCACACCAATATTGTTATAGATAAGGTATTAGTAGACGAAGAACCAGGAGTCACGACTAAGAGACTGGCTACAAACCCGGGAGAGGTTAAGAAAGCAGTGGACAATGACTTCGCGAACATGTTTAGGAAAAGAAATACACAACTGAACACATTGACACCATTTTGGCAACACATTTACGAACCCACAGGAAAGTTCAAAGAGGTTATAGAAGTTACAACAAAAAACATCACCCTGAAAGAGTGGAATAACACAGTTAAAGATTTAAACAAAAAATCAGCTGCAGGGTTGTCCGGCATTAACTACAAAATAATACAACAATTACCTGAGGAATTAGTCCTCCTCTTAATCAGATTTGGAAACTTAACAATACAAACTGGGCTTGTACCTATGGCATGGAAAACATCGGTAATTCTCCCTATACCCAGCCCACCAACTTTGAATACAACATTTGGAATACTCGACCTATTGCTTTGCTGGATTGTTTTCGGAAAACCTTTACAAAGATGATCACAAACAGGTTGAGTGCCATTTTGAAACAAAATAACGCACTGCAAGGCTACAATTGTTGTAGAATGTAATACATTTAGTTAACAACTTCATTGAGGATGCCAGAAAAAACAAAAAAGAATTATGGGTCCTCACACAAGACATGAAAAAAGCATTCAATTCAGTTGGGCTAGAGGTTTTAGAATGAGCCTTGATTCATATTGACATTCCAATATCTATGGTTGCATGGATTTTAGCACTTTTCAAACACAGATCTCTTAGGGTCGCCACAGCATATGGCTTAAGTGATGGGTTTATTGGAAATGATGGAATCGATCAAGGCGACGTGCTTTCTCTGTTACTTTGGCGAATTTTTTATGACCCGCTTTTAGTAGGAATACAACAAATTAAAGACAGTGGCTATGAGATGATAGTCACCTGGCAGAATGATATTAACGATCCTACAACTTGGACACAATATAAACTTCAGGTTCCCATCTGTGCATATATGGATGATACAGTGTTCCTAGAATCATCAAAATTTAGGATGCAAAAGATTGTAGACATAACAAATGAATTTTATTTGATTAATGACATCAATATCAACGCCAAGAAGTCAAAATTGATAATTGTCAACCCGACAGTGGAACAACGCACACAAACTATTCACAAATGATGTAATAAGATACCTTGGGGTCTGGTTTTCCAAAAAACCAAGTAGAAGAAGGTAGATGCAACGCCTGTCTACGATAGTCAATAATTTTTGTAATACAGTTCGCAGGAAATTTGTTTCAGCGGGTCAAAGTATCTATCTAGTCAACAGAGTATTGATACCTAGACTAATGTACATGGCTCAAATTATGATATTGTCAGAGCAAAATTGGAATCAAATATTCGCCCGGTAATGAAGTTGGTTAAAAATTGGTTGAAATTGCCTAAGAATACACCCTCATCACTATTATTTCATGAGGGGGGACTCGGTATGGACCATCCATGGAAACACTATTGCATCAATAACATAACAGATCTAATAATTAGATTAAATGGTGCTTCACATGTATCAACGTCTACACAAATTAGACTCAGGGATGCACTCATTACTGATCCGATTTTTGACTGCGAACTTCACTCAATGCCTTGGATATAGCCCCAAGCTCGGAAAAATGTTTCTTTTAATGCATTGGTAATATCCAAAGCAGTTGACATATCAATGGCGATAGATCAGATCAATAGATCATCTTGGAGCGTCATAGGAGGAAAGAACTGCTACTGAAATTCTTTAAACAATTTCAGCTTACAAAATACATATACCAGATCAATCAAAGCCTACATTATCCAATATACTATATTAACCAGTTGTTTATTAGAGGCACATATCTCATGTCATGGAAACAATATTGCAGATTAGCACTACTCCCTATACAAGGAAGAATAGCTAAATGGTATCATGATGTAGCCCACTTGTGTACATCTAGAATAGACAATTTAACAATCGCTAATGATCTGAAGCTTGCCAAAGTAAATCATTGGGCTTTTTTACTGGATATTGTACCAGATGCACGTCAAATCATTTTCATCAGGGAGCCAACAGCTGATACAGATGTATGGTCAATAGGCAAAACTCTTTCTCCTTTTCATTTTTACGAAAATTTCTTCACTTTATTTAAAATTTTTTACATAAAATAAAAATGTCGAACATGGAAGACTCAGTTGAAAATATATCTGTAGATGACTTTTTAGAGTTCGTTTCAGAAGAAGGGGAAACGTTCTTATCTTATACAACATTTCAGCTTGGACAGTTTGTTGAGAACGGTTTCCTCAAAACTTTGTTTGATAAAAACCCACAGTGACCTGTGGATAAAGCACAGCTTTTAGTAGATATGTTTGGCGAGTCTGCCAACCTGAACAACTTTGCCCAACAGGCGGCGGTGAACTATATACAACCAACCACCCTTTCACTATTATTTTCTATAGCCCTTTACGCTTCATCCAGGTCATGAGATAATTTTGCTACCTGCGCCTATTCTAGATTTGGTGATATGGGTGACTCAGAGTCAGAATATCCCTCCGCTAATGACAAATTTGGATCTACGTACATATCAACACCGAAAACTACACCAAAACCAGTACATGTTACACCCCCAATACTGCCAGATGTGGAAATGACCCCTGTTGATCTAACTGTGACACCCAAAACTTCCTGGAAGAAAGATAAACAAAAGGCGCGTATTGCAGAAAATAAACAAGTTATACACCAATCATTTACGGCAAATCCTGAGGCACAAACCCCGAACAAAAAAAATACCCTATTTTTGGGGGCAAAAACATCCGCACCTGGGTTACACATATACTGACTGGATACAGAGAAGCTGATGACGAGCGAGAGCAAGTCAGAGACATTATTGTATACGACATTCCGTATACCTGGGACGTTGATAAAATCTTAGAAGAATTAACGTTATGGGCAAAACTATTAAGTTGTCTTTAAAACGGCAACACAAATATCAGACTCTTCGAGTCAAAATAGTTTTGAATTCATTTACCTTCCCCAATTTACCAAGTTCTGGACGACTGACCTGGGAGGTATACCAGTGAAATGGTTCCCCGCAAGTTGGACTTTACGAGAAAGAAAATAACGCAAAAAGTTCCAAGCCGTTATTCACGATATTCTGGTTGAAATGACGATGGCTACCTTGTGGGCAGACCATAAACCACAACCATTTTTAACAACGTGCGGTGCTAGTGCATTTAAAATTATACAAACAAGTAAAGGTAAGAGGAAGCTCGTAGGATATTTCGAGAATTGGGAGGCTACACTCAAAGCCCTAGGAACTCTGCAAGCTTTCCGGGAGAATTCTCTGGAGTTGAAATGGTGTCAACACTCTTTACCTGCCTTGAAGAAAGCACTAACTAAACAAAAGGCTAAGAATGTTCCTGACAAGAAGCCTGGGAAAACCATGCAACAGTCTGGTAACGTTAACCTTAAGAAGAAGGACCAGAAATCCTCAACCAGTGCTAAGAAGCAAGCCAAATCTACTAAAGACCCGTTGAAGGATCCCAAATCCCAGAAGTCGAAGTCCAATAAGAAGTCTAGGGATAAAGTAGGTAATAAGGATAACACGGTGGTTTTAGCAGAAATTTTATTCTTACTGCGAAAATTAGTATAGCAATTTCGTTCAGTTAACACTGGCGATTCTTTCTTTTTTTCTTAAAGATTTAGTAGTTATAAGAATAATAGATTTTATTCAGAATAGGTAGAATTAATTTTTTTTCTTTTTTTGACTGGGAACTCTCACTAAATTAGTGTTTGAGTGTCTTTTTTTGTTCTATTTGGTTCGTAGCTTGAGTTGTGGCTAAGCCTGCGTTCCTTGTGGAGCGAGGCTAGGCGACCCCTTCGATTCGTTTGAGAGGTTGGGTTGATCTTTAGCTTGGAATAATGGATTTACTTTGTAGGTACCTGTTCCTATGTATTGTGCGACCCCAGTACTAGTCTTTATTTTAAAAATAAAAATAAAAAAAAAAGATTTCAGTGAATTATCATCCAGGATTTAATGATAACGGAACCATTGGATGGCAGAATACAGGACGATCCATACCAGCTGATTGCTGTAAAGTAGCAATATTAGATAAAGACTTCAAAACGCGTAGTTGGAACTTCCCTAGCAAATGGTTATCACACATCCATCATGTCTCAGTACCCAATGATAGGTCAACAATACCATTCCCAGATCCCGAAATTATCTTACCATTAGTTGAAGACATAGATTCACAGATGGATAGATGATGATAACTTAAAATCGCGATTAATGGAAATTAGAAATATACTAGCAGAGAGAACAGTAATTGAATATTATACAGACAGTTCACTTAAGCTAAATACCCCACATCAATGAAAAAACAAGATCCTAATTTAGTATACTCAAACATGGGAGCTGCATTTTGTGTTAATAATGAACCTGCATTGTCAGCTCAAGCAAACTTATCTTTATGGCCTTCATCTACACGATCAGAATTAGTGGCAATTCTTATGGCATTACTCACTGGCCCTATGAATGCAAAAATTAAGATTTATACAGATAGTCAGAATGCAATACACATGATAAATAACCAAAACAATAAACTGAGTAGGAAATTATTGAAGCAGTCAAATTCTTTAATTCTACTCAAGATAAATATTCTTTTACAAGAAAAAAAAATGGATCTAGTATTAATGAAAGTTAAAGGACACAGTGGAGATGCAATGAATGAAATGGTAGATAAATTAGCAAAGAACGTGTGTAGCAGCAACTCTTATTTTAATAATAGATTTAACTATGGCAATAAAATAGTTAGATATTTTCCAACATTCAAACAGATTCCAATTGAATACAATTTAAGGAGATTTATTAAAACTCTAATGAATACTAGGGTGGCAGCTGAATGGTCAATGTTAAAAACTAATGGACATGAGACACAAATAGCCTGGAATATAACTTGGAACCTGATTCATAGATATAAAGGATTTAATTGTATTTCATCAAAAAAACATTGGCATTTAATATTTATTGTCAAATTATTTACTAAACTTCTTCCTATAGGTACCACTCTAATCCAACAAAAACCAGACATATACAAAGATTTTGCTTGCCTCAGATGTAATACTAATAAAGAAGAAAACAGATTTCACTTTATTGAATGTGATGCCAATAAGGATCTATGGCCTATAATTAAAAGCAGAATACAAGATGACTTAGTTCCTATAATTCAAAAATTGAGTAATTCACCAGAAAATACATTCAAGGTTATAAGGGAAAAATTAAATCAGTTACTAGGATTACAATATGATGATAATAAATTTATTGATTTTTGTTCACTAGCTTTAAAAGCCAAGATTAGTAATAAATTATCCACTATATCAAAACAGACATTTGGATTTTCAGAATTAAAGAATATTTTATTTTTGGCCTCACTTCTGGATTCTTTTATTATTCACTTCAAAGAATTAATTTGGCTGCCAAGATGTAATGCTACTATAGCAGGGAAAAAAGAAAAGGAATTGGAAGAAAAGATAAATTGAATATATCTGAAAATATGGATCGGTACTTCAAATCCTCTCACCAACAAGCTAAACATCTAAGACAAGAAAAAAAGAATAATTTACCAGAGTCACAGGAAAATCAAAAAGTAATTCTTGATGATATTCAATCTAAGATGGATTCAACGCAACATAAAAATCCATCAGAGGAAGATTACATCTTATTAAAGTGTTACAAAGTGGGAAAAAAAGCTCATGACCAGATGTGTTTATTGATTAATAACAATTGGTGGTATAAGTTGGGCTTATAAAAAGACAAAAAATATTGTTAACAATGTTGTTATAGATTTAACAACAACATAATTTGGATCATTTAACTTTAATTTTTTATATATTTATTTTTATTTTTAATTCTATAATTACTTTATTTTAGTTTATTTGTTACTTTTTACTATTAATTTTTACTTTTATTTTTAATTTTATTTTAAATTGCATGTTTATTTTTTCTTTTTCTATTTTATTATTATTTTTATTTATATTTTATTTGTATTTTATTAATGTTATTATTTTCTTTATTTGTTTTGCTATCATTTATATTTTGATGATCGCATCCTATTGGGTGAATATAGCTTATGATAATTTGTTTATATGGTATATGAACTTAATATCAATAAAGTATATATAAATCATTAAAAAAATATATATATATATATATTATAATATATAATCAACTTTTTACACTTACATTTTTAAAATAATTTTAAATGCATATATAGCAATCTTTATAAGGAGCTAATAATAACTGGACCAGATTTTTAACAAATATATATAATACATTTATATCAAACCTAATGAATATATTCAATAATACAACTTGAAATCTTTTATGTTTTTTGTGTTACTTTATAATTTAAGATGCTAGAAATTATCATACAGGCAATCCACTAAGAAAAGCTATTTAAATTTGTTTATTTTACAAATTCAATGTTCTTTTAAAAAATTTTATAAACAATGTATGGTCTGGTGCAAAAAGATTTGTACATCAAAAAAAATGGCAATAAAAAATTTTTTAATAAATTAAATTTCATTTTTTTTTATATAAATCTTATTAGTATATATTCAGAAATATTATAATATCATTATTACACCAAATTGTGCATCATNAAGTCAAGATAATTGCATTATAATAATTATTATAATGTAAATACAAATATCTTGGCTTCTAGTGATTCAATTTGAACAAACATTTTTTTGTTTTGTAAAGCTGGATTTGTAGAGCTAAATGAGAGCTATAAATTAAAAAAAGTTTATTAAAATTGAATCACTAGAAGTCAAGATAATTGCATTATAATAATTATATAAAAATTTATTTATTTATTTTATGTGAAGCAGGTAGGAAATACAAATAAGGGCATCTAGCAATCACTAAAAAGTGACGAATCTGCCCAATAAAATTCCTATCATTGAAAACCAGAAAAACTGGTGCCCAACCCTAACTTCCTGAAAAAAAGGACCTATTTACAAGCACTTCCACTTATATCTAGGCAAACACATCAGATTAAACAAAAAAGAATGGAGAGGATAAGTTCCTTTTTCAAGAAATTGTGGTACTAAACATAAAAGGATTCTGCTATGCTAATAGCAAGTACAAATTAGTAGAAATAACTAAATTCTGTTAAGACTAAACTAATTTCTGTAATAATTCTAAAATTTTTGCTAAAACCTCCTTATTTAAACTATTACCACCCTTCGCCTTCTTGTTCAAATTGTCCAATTTCTCAGATGCTTTCATTTTTTGGCTCTCAACTTGTTACTTGTATTAGGAGCTTTGGTCAAGGATTTATCATCCTTCTTCTTTGACTTCGCATTACTGGAATGAGCTTTTTTTCCTCCAGAACGGTCTTTAGTTGAGGGCACTTTCTTTAGGTTAGGCGTAGAGTGTTGACACCAAGACAACCTGATCCCTTCTGAGCTCAAAACTTGATGGTAAATCTAAGACCTTGCGTACGGCCTTCCATTTCTCGAAATAACCAACAAGCTTCTTCTTACCTAGTGATCCGATCCTATTTCTAAATGGTCATCCGGATCCAATAGGACCCAGAAATATATATATAGGGGTCAGGTGGTGAAAAATTTTTTTACTATGAGCTGTACGCAGAGACTTTTTATATGAGTAGTACGCATAATTGACACCTGATATTGAAAATCCTGCAAAAATACGCAAATAAAATTTCAGACATTAAGTTATTAATTATTTTATCATGGCTTCTATATTATTTATAAAACCAAATACTAATGTGAAAAAATAGAATTTACCATTTTTTTAATAATATTTTTCTAAAATTTCACTTTTTAACCCTTAGAAATTTCTTTCAATTAATACTAAATATTACAATGCGGTTAATTAAATAAGTACGTACAGTAAATATATTATATATATAAGATTAGCCAAATTTAGGCCAAAAATACGCAAACTAATTTTTTACATATAAAAATTTTGATAAAAAATACGCAATCTTGATGACCTAACTATAGATGAAAAATTCTAAAATTGTACGCAAATCAAAACTTTACTCCGTCTAATTTCACTATGATGGCGACGCATCTGTGTACCCTACCCCTGTATATATATTTCTGGGTCCTGATCCAATCCCAAATCTCTTCAGCAGATCCGGATTTCCATCCGGATCTGAAATTTTACGGATTAATCCTTAATTTAGGATCTATCCAGATTAATCCTTATTTGCATTAATTTAAGATCTATCCGGATCTATCCCAATCCGAATTTTAGCAGATCATCCATGATTCGTAAATTTTTATTGGTCCATTTACTTGAAGCTTGCGCCTTCGGAGAATTTATTTATTTTTTTTTAAAAAAAAAATTAGTCCGCTAATATATTATTATAGAAATTAGTAGTTTATATTTAATATTAATGAATATTTCATTTATTCCATATATTCTTGTTATTTATTACAAATTTAAATACTAAAAAGTAAAAAAACGGTTTTAACAAATAACAATTCATAAATTCAAGGTTAATATTATTCAACTTCGTCCCACTCTTTTGCAAAAACTTCCATTGAACGGATATTCCTCTTTAAAAACAATATCTGACCCACTAAACTTGTGTCTAAACGATTTCTTTTTGCTGAAATTAGTGAACCAGCGTGAGAAAATAACCTTTCGCTTGACACAGAAGTAGCTGGAATTCCAAGGTATTTGCGGGCAATTTGTGATAACTTTGGAAAATTTCCTGCACGAACTCGCCACCAATCCAATGGATCTTCTGCTTCCAATGCAGCTGGCATTGCCAAATAACTATCAACTTCATCAATGGTTACAGGTGTTAACGGTTTTTTAGTCTTACTTTGACGGCACTGGCGGTATTCTTTTTGTGAACACGATGAAGATTCTGCACCTGAAAAAGGTATGATTGGATTAGATGGCTCTGCTATAGGTGCTATTGGTGTTGTGTTATTTGAGTTATTAGAATTCAACTCATTAAACTCATCACAAAGTTTTTGAATTATTTCAATTTTTTTATCTTCTAGTTCTAAACCTAACTCCTTATAATGCGGATCTAATAAAGTAGCCATTAATCCTGTATCATTGGGGGTATCCCAGTAATAAAGTAATGCATTGTAAACATTATTTTTTACTTTTTCCAAAATTCCTTCAGTCTTTAATGGATCTTTAATAGAGATTTTCTTTTTGGTAATGTTGCTTATAATCTCTTCATTATCGATTTCAACATCACCTTCTTCAAATA